GAAAATTCTCTAGTGTCTCTGTGCCTCAGTTTCCCTCATCTTTAAGTTAAAGTTGTTTGTGAGGATGGAATTAATTCCCATAAAGCACTTAGAAAAATGATCTCAGACTATGGAAAGTGAAGATGTTGGCTACTACACCAGGCAGGGACTGAGTCCTTGGCAGGCATTATATCTTTTAATCCTCACGATGATCCTGCAAGGTATTATTACTGACTGAATATTACAGATGAGAAAATGTAGGTATAGGGAAGCTAAATAACTTCTTCAAGGCTACCTATACAGGCTAATAAAAAACAGCTATGCTGGGACACAACCCAGGTCTGTCTTGAGAACACATTCTATTGACCGCCAGACTTACTAATAAATTAAGATAGTGGAAGGACTACAGATGCGAATTTATTTTCCTGAATGAGTGGGTTTATCTAAAAAACAACCAACCATAACAATGAATCTGATGAACAAGGCAGAGAAGGACAGGACTCAGGAGTGAAAAGTGGAAAGATCATGACATCAATGATACCATGAATGCGAAAAGGTTATTAAAATTAACATTTGCTGTAGTAAACAGAAGGTGATTCCATGCAGAGACAAATATTTTCAGGTAGGCCTCTCCTTATAGACTTCCAATTTTAAGTGACTCAGATGGCCCAACAGTTGATGCTATTAATCTCTGCTCCTGCTGCTATTAATTGTAGGAAGCAAACCTAGGCAGTTGCTACACACATGCTAGATGCTAGACACACACACACACACACACACACACACACACACACATGCGCTAAGCTAAACTAATTACAAAAACACAGGATGTTGGCCAGCCAGTGAGTACAAGTGTGACCTCATTTAGTCAGCACCTCCAAACACAACAGTGCCAAGCCCCCACAGACTGACTGGTGGGAAGCTTTGTCTTTTCCAACAATTCAATTCCCAAAACACATCTAGAAGCCCTAACCTGTTTGTTCCCTTAGCCCCTCCAGTTTTGGGACCTTTCTAAGTACCTTTACCCCCCTTTTTTGTGTCCTGGGGATTTTGCTTTAATCTGTGCTCTGACAGCAGCTCTGCAGCCGCCTCTGCTCTGCAGGGTCCTTGCTCTTGCTTTCAAGGGCCCTTCTGCCCCACCATCTACTCTGTTTGTCATTATCCCCCAGACTTTAACCTCTAGCCCCTCTAAGTCACTCACCTCTCCACACCTCTGCAAACCCCTTCCTCTGCTTATATCTAGTTCTTTCGTGGAAGGTCACTCTCCTGGCTCCAAACCTTTTTAAACTGCTAAATTCAATTCAATCAGCATATGTTGATGCCTCCTCTGAGCCAGGTGCTTGGTGCTAGAAATGCAGTTATAAATAAATAAATCTCTGTGCTCTTAGGAACTTACATTCCAGTGGGGAAGAAAACCCCCTAAACAGATAGTTTCAAAATAATGTGGTAATAATATACAAAGATGTGCCCTGGTCTAGGGAACACACCCATCCTTGTGCTTCAGGAAGGCTTTAAGGAGGAATTCATGTCTTTCGGGATGTGTAAGAGTTGGTAACCAGATAAAGAATAGGAAGAAAGTCCAGGTAGAAAAAATGGCTTGAGCCTAGGCAAGATGGTACACACAGGAAAGAGACAAGCAGTTCGATGGTGCAGTACACCTTACATATGAAGCAGAGTGGGCATGAATAAAAGAACTGGTAGATAGGAGCAAGATTATGGGAGGCTCTGCATTGCCATGTTGGATTGCCAAGCTGGGATTTAACTCTGTAGTGCATAGTTCCTTAAGCTTTTTACACTGCAGACTATTAAAATTAATGAATTTCATGGACTCTGTTCTTAAAAAATAAAAGGGCTATGTGCACACACATACACATACAAATGTCCAGACACATATAAATTTGCCCATAATTTCAGCCACCCTACCTGTGCCCCCCAGAAGTCAATCCGCATTTAAAATGCTGACGATGGAGACAGGATAACCTGGGGTGGTGAAGGGGATTCCTTGAAATATTTTAAGCAGAGAATTACAGCATCACATGTTAGTTTAAATACATTACTATCAAGTTACACAACGGACAAGTCTGGAGTCTGGGAATACAGTACAAAGACGTTCTGTATCTAGGCAAGAGATGACAAGATTGTGAACTTGGGCATTAGTGCTAAGCCTTGAGAAGAAAGTAGCTATAAGAGCAACATGTTTCAGTGAGTGATTGAAAGTGAGTCACGAGGATGAGTTCAGGTTTCCAGCTTGGAAAACTGGTGAACCAACTGGAATAGAAGGCTCGTGGGAGAAAGGGTAATGAATATATTTTTGAACATTTGAGTTTGAGATGTCTTTGGGACAAGACACCTGGGTGATAACCAGGCAATTGGATATCAATTGGGTATACTAGTCTGAAGTCCCAAGGAGAGGTCACAGCTAGTAATATAGATTTAGTGGGTCATATGAGAATCTACCAACTTGATTTTCAATGTACTAAAGTGCCATATAAATACCTCCTTCTAAAAATTTACAACAAAGTATGTTTTACTTTATTTTGATTTTCTTTTGCTGTATTTACTTTTGTTTTATCTTTCTTTTACTTTAACATGATTTTCCCTAGAACAAAATCCTAACCAACAGTAAAGGATTCTTATTGTACAACATGGTGACTATAATTATTAACAACGTATTGTATTCTTGAAAATCACCAAGAAAGTAGATTTTAAGTGTTCTCAGCATAAAAAAAAGATGTGTGAGGTAATTCATATATTAATTAGCTCAATTTAGCCATTCTACAATGTATACCTATTTGAAAACATCGTGTTGTACATGCTAAATATATATAAATATATTTGTTTTTGAAAAAACCACAAAGGAGCCTGCATTTACCAACACAATATTCCATTAGAGTGGGAGAAAGGATTGCAGGACCACCATGAAATGGAAAAACCTAGTTAAGATCCCCAAATGGGGTCCATTCCCTTCTTGATGAAGTACCTTTTCTTCACTTTCACCTTACACTCTCAGTCCTCCATAAGCCCAAGTTAAAATCTGATGGGATGGAAAGAAGAGCCAAAAAAATTCAATCGCAGATCCCATTTGATGCTGTAATCAGAAAAATTCCTTCATATTCAGTTATACAAAACATAGAATAAAATTACTTTATTCTGACAAAATTTTAGCAAAGTTAATATATTGTTGAGAATTTCTAAACTACCATCCCTTGACACGAAATTGCGGAGCTTCCAACTGGTCTTCCCAAAACACATTCTCCACTGATTCAGCCAGAGTAATTTTGTAAATGTAAATCAGAGCATGGCACTCTCCTGCTTAAAAACATCCAATGGATTGCTTTCAAATTAAGCCCACACTTCCTACCAGGTGGTGTCCCACCCTTATCACATCTCTCCCAGGCTCTTCCAGACCTTCCCTGACCCTCCCTTTTTCCCTTTTCAAGACAAGCTCTTTCCTGACTCAGAACTCTCCTGTTTTCCTCTTCCCAGAAATCTCTTCCCTCAATATTTCATAGAGCTGGCTCTATGTCATCTTTCATGCATGAGTTCAAAGCTCCACTCCTGACCACCATTTCTAACCCTTAACTATCCACCCCACTTTCTATCACATTAGTTTTATTGTCCATCTAGCACTTATCACGATCTGAAATTGTGATTTTTTTTGCATACTTGTTTTGTTTTTGCATACTTATAGATTGTATGTTGAAGCCATAAAGACAGTGACTTATGTGAATCTTTCCACAGCACGTAAGATAGGTGCTTAATAAGTATTTGTGAAATGAATGAACTAATTGAACTGACATCCCATTTCCATAAAATTAGTAAGCAAATAGTAGGCAAAGATGCCAGGCTCTGTAGTTGGTGCTGGCAATTGAACAGCACCTTTAAGTAGTTCACAGTCTGCTGTAGAAGACAATATGCAATTGTGATACAATGTGACAAATGCTAACAAGGAGGTAACTATAGGGTTTGTGGGGTCACAAAAGAGGGGAGCCTAATTTTGTCTTAGAGGACCCCTTAAGAAGTCGTTAAATCTGAGAGATGAGCGATGGAAAAACGGGTGCAGAAGGGGTGGAAGGAGTGTGGCAAATGCTTAGGTAAAAGGAACAAAAGTGCAAAACTGTGCAGCAAGAGACGGGAATCTGACAAATTTTAAGGAGTTCCCTTGAAGGATTCTATGACATAATGTAAATTTATGCACACGTACTAAGAATGGTAACCCGTCATGTAAGTTAAGATGTTATGAGTAAGCGCAGACCTGTACCTACCGGTCACTTATCCAAAGACAAAGGAAGGATTATTTCGAAGAGGGACTTCCTGTGACGGCTTCTGTGGCTTACACGCTGGGTCCTGGAACCTCAGCCCCTACCCTAGTTGTGCTGAGTCCACGTTGGTGGACTGAGAGGGGGGTGATGTCGCCTTGATGGCCGATCTCATTGGCCTTTCAAAGTGAAACTGTTGGAGGATTGGCTGCGGCGGTATCCAGAGGACTTCCCCTGTCGCTGATTGGATGAGAGGCGACCGTCCCTCCCCCTTTGCACTTTCCGACCGGCGGCCTGTTGCTTGGCAACCGATTGCTTGGCTTCGACCAGCTAAGCGGACACCGCGTTACACCTGTGAAGCGGAAACGACTTGCTAGGACCGCCTTATGCTTACACCTGTCACTCCCACTTCACGTGCCGACAACACGAGATTGTCCCAGTTGCTTATCTAAGTTTGTCTTGAGACTGGCTGTGGACTGGCACTGCAGTGACACTCCGCAGACGAGAAAGTGCGCACGTTTTCCATCCGGAAGTTCCCTGTTGGAGGAGTCAGAGTAGAAAAGAAAGTCACTGTTGTGTTGCAAATTTAGAAGCCACTTATCTTGGGGATGTTCTGAGCTCCTAGAAAGCAAGTGACTTACATCAGTTTACTAAGTGTGGGAGAGTGATCCATAACCTCAGACCCTGCCTCAGAGTAAACCTAACCAGTTTGGGGACAAGTACTAGACCCCCTGCTGCCTTAGCTGCCTTAACTGCCTTAACATGCACTGCAGAGCTTACCTCTTGCTGGAAAGACACTACCATGAGTTCAAGGAGAACAATTTTGAGGTAAGTACTGGGCAGATGGCGGGATGTATTTGTGTCCTAATTTTTAAGAAGCAGTTTAACTGGTATTTGTTGTATAAATCAAAATTTAGTTAAACCTAATTTGCCACTACAGTATTGTCATTTAATGAATCTATTTCACTATAGTAATGTATTTCATAATAATAAAAATTATTATTATTACTTCAAAATAATAATGGTTAACAATATTGAGCTCGTTGCACTGAGTAACTTTTGTGAGTTTAAGCCCTGAATACTAGGGTCTATCAGGTAGTAAGCGACTAGAAGGCACAGGATTACGCTCATTAATTATAATACTGTAAAATAAGTAGTATTTCATTTTAGTACCAGAAACCTAAGCCTCCTGAAAGATTCAGTAAAGATTTACCCCCAGGATTCTATTACAGGGTTTTCTGACATCAAAGCCCTTGGTCTTAATTGTCGAATTGTCGTGTTCCAGTACTTATTGTCTAATGCACATTTACCAGCATAACACAGAAATGCCCTCCTCTTATAATTTTAATACAGAGGAAGGCAATACCCTTTGCCCCAAATGCCACCAACAAAGTTCCCAATATCCATGGATGCCATGGGCTTAATTTATGGAGAATGAAAAATGGACGAGGGAGGTAAGAGGGTGTCCTTAAGGGAAAGAATAGAAAGCCACCCATAGAAGGAAGGTATGGAGTGCTTCCCACAGTTGCTTCAAGGGTAGTTCAGTGGATTGTTGGTTTTTTACCTCTGCTCTAAATATATTGCCTTCACTGGAGATGTTAGGAACAATTGTTGTGTCCAACAACAAACATCCCAGAGGCATGGATCTAACATTTAATGTTGTTTTTGCTCAGCCTGAACTTTGTAGTTCTCTGGTCAAAGAGAATCCAGTAAAGGGATCTGTAAATATAGATAACGCAGATAATAGAGATATACTGTTCATACAAAGCACTTAACATACCTAATAACTATGTGGTTGCTTAGAAATATTTATTGAGTGTATTTCAGTGTGCTCTTCAGTATAATTGGTAAGGTTTTCTGTGAAATAGGTTCTTAGCCCTCCATTGGAACAATACCTCAAGTGTAGGAAAAATTTATTTTTGTATACAACTATAATTTTGGATTTTTTTCTTAATGAAAATTTTCCTACTTCATGCCTTCCATACAGCATTTATACAACCTTAAAAATCTTTGAAGAACATATGTTTTCCAACTATTTCCTTCTTTTTCAATGTGAATCTTAAATTGGCTTTGACTTACATGAACAGTACATAAGCCACACACCCTAATCTTGACCTTCTAGTCCTACTTGTGATTTCCACAATTATGATTTATGTTTATTTACTATTGCATGTGTTTTCTGGAATCTACCTTAACTTCTATGTAATAAGACACCTCCCCAGATCAGTAAAGAAAACTATCAAAAAAAAAAAAAGAAAATTGAGAGTTTTTAGAATTCAATGGTACCTGGTATCTAATTTTTAAAACTGCAATAAATACTTAATCTTTTTTATCTGCTTTAATTTTGTTTTTTAATTAAAGGGTATTACTGCTGTGCCTGTAAGTGAAGATATGATGAAATGGGAAGCTGAAATTACAGCTCTACAAAATTCAATTTGGCATGGTTTGTGTTTTCAAAACCAATATATATTTTTTAAAGTCTTTATAGCATTAATTGCCTATCTTCTTTATGTGTATAGTAAGGTTGCATTATTTTCTGGAATTCTTTATATGCGTAATAAGTTTGCATTATATCAGTTGTCTAGAATTTTGAAAGTATTCACGTTATTTTTTCATTATATGGCTTATTTTTTTGCCATTTGTCAACATAGACGGAAATTTGGGGTTAGTATTTTCCTTTTTGCCAAATTTTAACGTTATTACATTTTAAAGCAAACACAATAAAACGTATCAATTGAGAGTATCTTCTGCCAGTCTTCCATGAGATTAGAGAATGGCTATCAAAATTCCAATTGGCTTCATCATACCACAGTCACTTCTCATTTTTTCCTCCATGATTTTCCCCCAAATCTTCATAAATCAAGTTTTCAAAAAGACTGGGCCACTATAAACTCTAATAACATGTTTTCTTTCCATCATGGGTTAACAAGACAGATTCCTTAAGTGAGGTAGAGCAGGCAAACACATAAGCTGATAATTACAAAAAAATATAATATGTGCTATTATGGATTTTGAACAAGATGCTGAAGAGGGAGTGATTAGTTAGTTCTGCTGAGGGAGTCAGGAATATCTTCCCAAGGAGGTGACATTTAAGATGACTCCTGAAGAATGTGTAAGAGTTTGCCAGGTTCAGAAGGAGAAGGAAATTCAGGCAGGATAAACAGCACAGCAAAGGCTTGTAGACTAGAAAAGGGTCAGCAGGTTCTGGGAACAGTACGTTCAGTTGATATGAGATACACAGTTTGGGGGCTGATATTAGGGGGTTGGAGGTAGTGGGTGGAAAGACTGGTGGGAAGGAGGCTGAGAACCATGAGATTGTGGAGAGAGCCTGTTACACTGTCTAGAGGAGTCTTTACATTCTATGAAACCATTTACTGAAAAATAAAACCATAGGGAGGCTAGTTAGAATAATCAGTGTAATTAGGTTAATCAGCACAACATGACACTTTAGTAAAAATGTTTATTTCTATATTATAGGATTTGTCTTCCAACTGACAATAAATTTTACACCAGAGTACAACTATGCCCCTCCAGTTGTGAAATTTACAACAATTCCTTTTCATCCGAATGGTAAGGACTAAATGAGATTTTTATCATCAGGGGCTCTGTCCCTTTTGTCCTTATTCCTTATATTAATCATGTTTTTTAAGCAACTTTATTATGATTATAAAAGTAAGAATTTCCATTGGGTAAAATATGAAAGGGCAGACAAAAATTACAATCACCTTGAATCCTTGTGCAAAGACATACTACTCTCAACATTTTGCCAAATTTACTTCCTTTTTTCTACATGTGTTTTTTCTATGTAGTTGAAGTATTACATGTAAAGTTTTGCATCTAGTTGTTTTATTTAAATTATGTCTTTTCCCTGTCATTTTAAATGGCTCAATAATACACTTAACCATTCCTGTATTGTTCAATATTTTAGTTGGATCTGGTTTTTCATTATTATGAAAAAGGATACACTGGACAAATTAACAATTTAGAAAAATGCAGGTGACATTACTACTTCAAGTTATACAAAAGGAAATTCCTAAAGGATCAAAAATCTAAAAATTTTAAATGCTGAAAAAAAAAATCTAATAGAAACTTTTATAGGCTTGGTTAGGAAGGCCTTTCTAAGTATGATAAAAACCCAGAAACTATTGCAAAAGCTTGACACATTAAACTACATAAACTTTAAAACTTGTCTACAGCTAAGGATGTTATAAACAGATAAAAGACATTGACTTTTGTCAACTGAGGGAAAATGTTTGTGATACATATAACAGAATATGTATACCATATAAAGAACACTTGTGAATCAATAAGAAAAGGAACCTAAAGCAATAGAAAAATGGACAAAGGCTATAAACAAACACTGGATAGAAGAAAAATAACAAAATAAACAAAAAAAAGATACTCATCTCACTAGTTAAGAAAATAAATGCAAATTAATGCAAAAAATATTGTGATTCATCACTTATGATTACAAAATGTTAAAAGATAATACACAATTTTAATAAGGGTGGGTAGACATCCTTCCTCTGACATAATGATGACCTTTTGGGGAAGAAATTTGACACTTTCTAGTCAGATATCAAATGCATATAGCCCTAAATCCCCTATAATATCATATTTATAAATTATTATGTGGAAATACTAACACAATTGTACGAGAAGAGATGTTATATTTAAAGATATTTATTCCCAATAGCAATTTAGGAAATAGGGAAAATGGAAATAGCCTCAATGTCCATTATTATAGAAATTTTTAAGTGAAATATCCTACAGTGGTGTGTATTGCTTCAAAACAGAACAAGGAAGATCTACGAAAGCTAGACTTTTTGTCATTGCTGTATCCTTAGAAACTTCACTGCCTGAAACATAGTAGGTACACATAGTAGGTATTCAAATGTTTTGAATAAATGTTTATGTCTGGAAATACGTTCACAATTCACTATTAAATAAGAAAACACATTGAACAATAAAATGTAAAATATAACTTCATTCAATAAACACATACGTGTGTGTATATATTAATACATATATTTGTGTGTATGGATATTTGTATAGATCAACTGGTAAAAACTTCGAAGAATGGAATTAGTAGGCAGAGGAACATTCATATTTTACTTTATATTCTTGCATGTAATTTTATTTTTTCCCAAGTACATTATTACTTTTATAATCAAAACTTATTTTTGAAATTTATAACATACAACTAATTATGTGTATGTGCCATTATTTGTTTCAAATACTTAGGAATAGAATTACTGGATTAAATTTAATGAGGGGATATTCTTATCCTCCAGCCCTCACTCCTCCGATTTCCATAAAATAGAGGGAACTTCCTTCTCTAGGTGGGAAAAGTATGAGAAAACTCATGACCACTCTTTTCCTCCCTCACACCTCCCAGAAGGAGAAGTCACTTACCTGACTGGGAAGATGGGAGAAGGAATTGAGCTTGTGTGACCCAGCACTTTCCCAGCACTTTCTTTCCAACCATCCTGACCTCAGAGAGGGTGCAGTCTCTGTTTCTCCAGGCAGGAAACCTAGGCAGGCATTCAGTTTGGGGGTTAAGTTCAAACCAGGGGGCCCATAGTGGAGCACAATTAAAGCTGTTGATCAAGTGCATTACCCATTTCAGTCTTATGTACAATAGAGCTGCTGTTTTTACTTCCATCTTTTAACACCTTGGTCTATTTCATAACTATATATGAATGTGAGAAGAGAAGAGGGTTATTTACTAGCTCCCAAACCCCAAAAGATGACTATGTAAACATTTAAGTCATTAGATATGTAAAGCCTAATTGCCTTTTGGTAGTATTTACATTCCCACCAGAAAGTGTATAAGAAGTTCTCATTTTAGCGCATTCCAATTTTGGGCATTGAACTGGAGGGAAATGTTTTGCCAATTTGATAAGAATCCTGCTATTATTTTAATGAGCAGTTCTTTGAATACTTGTGAAGTAAATATCTTTTCACGTTTGTTGATTGTATTTCCTGTTTTATGACTTGTCTGACATAATTAAAATGTTATCACATTGTCCTAGATGTAAATATTTCCCCTAATTTGTCATTAATTTTAAATTTTATTTATGCCTTTTTTTAATGTCTGGGATTTTAAAATTTTTAGACAGTCAGATCTATTATTGAGGTTTTTGCAATTGTCTTTTAGTTTGCATGATCCTTCCCCCAAACAAAATCAAATAGTCTTTTAAATTTTCTTCTAGTCATTTTATAGTTTTGTTTTTCATATTTAACTCCATTCTTTTTTTTTCAAACACTAAATTAATTAATGAACTGTGTTAGGGCATAGGCCAGGCTTCTGTATATCTGTCCAACCTAGTATAACAGACCAAGGTTGGAGGGAACTTCTGTCCATCCTAAACGTGAGGATTCCATTTCTGGGTCTAAGGCATTTACTCTGTTTGTCACCATTTCCCTCCAGTGGGAAGGGGAAAGAGAAAAAGAGGAGGGCAAAATACCTTCCTTAAAAAAAAGATCCAGAAGTTCCATACTTATGCTTACAGCCCATGATTAAAACTTAGTCACAAGGCCACATCGTGCTAGAGTGCAGGCTAGGAAAAACAGTATGGGCACCCATGTATTCAGCTAAAACAATGTGGGTGGGAACCAGGAAAAGGCATCGTGTTTCTTATTATAAAGAGAAGAAATAGAAGAAAGGAAGAGTAGATGCAAATAATTTTCCTGGCTTATCATGTTGATGTTCATAAGTTTTAAATAATGATTTTATTATATATACATCAATAGTAATATATTATTTTAATACAGTAAACCCACAGACTGGTCAGCCCTGTATAGATTTTTTGGACAACCCCAATAAATGGAATGAAAGGTATACATTGAGCAGCATCTTACTTGCCCTACAGGTAAGAACAGATTTAATATAATGCTCTCTTTAATACACTTAATTACTCCAGTTATTCAAAATATAAGGATTAAAACGTACAATGTATAGTTTAATGTTTAAAGGATTTTAACAGGCTTATTTAAATCAACACTTCTATATCAAGGCTATGAAGTAGAATTTAAGTTATAAAAACTGTTATTTTAAAGTAAAATTGATAGTAAAGCCCTTCACAACCAAAGAGTACATATTTTATAAAAGAAGAAACGAATTGTTCAGATATTTTCAGTTCTAAAACTAGAGTCTTAGATTTTCTTTTGGCTCCTAACTTCAGTTCTTAATATTGAACAGGCCTTTTAGGGCTTTCCTTATTCATGGACCTTGCCTTCCTCAGAGAGTGAATCAAGTGACCACAGCTTAAAATATTTAGCTTTATCCTTTCTTTCCGATAGTGCTAGATACTTTCTCTCTTCGAAGTGTTCACATCAAACCCCGTGAACAATTAAACCGGGGATTTCCTCCTGTCCTCAGGTGAATGCTTGTTTCCCAAATGCCACCTTAACCCATGGTCCTTAGAGGCATGCTTCAGTGTTGTGTTATTCCTGACCCTTATAAACCCTCCTTTCTCATCTGATGCTAAAATAAATTATTTCAGTGGCACTTGCTTTGACCACTTAGATTGGTTCAGTAAGACTCTACCCATGAACTTATCATTAATAATATTAATATCTGGAGATAAACTATTAAACATTGATTATCTGGAATACTTAGAGAATAAAGTATTCTAGCTTAGTTGAATTTTCTCAACATAGAATTATAATACAAATTTTATTTCTCCCATTTCTTATTTTTGGAAATAAAGTAATAGTTAATTTTCTAGGTAGTCATCTTAGTATATTGAATAAAATGTATTTCTTTTTTAAAGATTCAGTGTTCAATTTATTCATTCATTCTACCCATATGTATTAAGCATCCACCTGTGTGAGGCTGTATGCTGGGAAAGAGGCATTTGAGCAAAAACTTTAAGGAAGTGAGTGTGATATGCAGATATCTGAGGTTGATCTTTTGGATTCCTCCAAACTGAAACATACTCTTTGTTTTGCGAGGGGTGGGGGGCAGGTATATATTTTTTATTTATTTATTTTTATTTCAGCATATTATGGGGGCACAAATGTTTAGGTTACATATATTGCCTTTGCCCCACCTGAGTCAGAACTACAAGCGTGTCCATCCCCCAGACAGTGCACACCACACCCATTAGGTGTGAATATACCCATTGCCTCCTCCCCCCTCCACCTGCCCGACATCCGAAGAATGTTACCACTGTATGTGCACATAAGTGTTGATCAGTTAATACTAGTTTGATGGTGAATGCATGTAGTGCTTGTTTTTCCATTCTCGGGATACTTCGCTTAGTAGAATGGGCTCCAGTTCTATCCAGGATAATACTAGAGGAGCTAGATCACCGTTGTTTTTTGTGGCTGAGTAGAACTCCATGGTATACGTATACTACATTTTATTAATCCACTCATGTATTGATGGGCACTTGGGTTGTTTCCACATCTTTGCAATTGTGAATTGTGCTGCTATAAACATTCTAGTGCAGGTGTCTTTTTTATAGAATATCTTTTGTTCCTTTGGGTAGATGCCCAGTAATGGGATTGCTGGATCAAATGGTAGTTCTACTTTTAGCTCTTTGAGGTATCTCTATATCACTTTCCACAGAGGTTGTACTAGTTTGCAGTCCCACCAGCAGTGTATGAGTCTTCCTATCTCTCCACATCCATGCCAACATTTGTTGTTTTGGGACTTTTTGATAAAAGCCATTCTCACTGGAGATAAGTGATATCTCATTGTGGTTTTGATTTGCATTTCCCTGATGATTAGAGATGTTGAGCATTTTTTCACATGTTTCTTGGCCATTAGTCTATCTTCTTTTGAAAAGTTTCTGTTCATGTCTTTGCCCACTTTTTAATGGGGTTGTTTGATTTTTTTCTTACTGGTTTTCCTGAGTTCCATATAGATTCTAGTTATCAGCCCTTTATCAGATGTGTAGCATGCAGATATTTTCTCCCATTCTGTAGGTTGTCTGTTTGTTCTCATGATAGTTTCCTTGGCTGTGCAGAAGCTTTTTAAATTGATCAGGTCCCATTTATTGATGTTTGTTGTTGCTGTGATTGTCTTTGGGGTCTTCTTCATAAATTCTTTGCCTAGGTCAATGTCTATAAGAGTTTTTCCAACATTTTCTTCTAGAATACTTATAGTTTCATGCCTTAGGTTTAAGTCTGTTATCCACCATGAATTGATTTTTGTGAGAGGTGAAAGGTTCAGATACTGTTTCAGTCTTCTACCTGTGGCTATCCAATTGTCCCAGAACCATTTATTGAATAAGGATTCTTTTCTCCAGTGTATGTTTTTGTCTGCTTTGTCAAAGATCAGATGGCTATGTGAGGATGATTTTATATCTAGGTTCTCAGTTTTGTTCCATTGCTCTATATCTCTGTTCTTGTGCCAGTACCATGTTGTTTTGGTTACTATAGCCTTGTAGTATAGCTTGAAATCTGGTAAATTGATGTCTCCTGATTTCTTCTTTTTGCTTAAGGTTGCTTTTTCTATATGAGGTTCTCTGGTTCCATATGAAGCATAGAATTATTTTTTCTAGATCTGTGAAAAATGATGTTGGTATTTTAATAGGGATTGCATTGAATCTGTAGATCACTTGGGGTAGCATAGGCATTTTAACAATGTTGATTCTGCTGACCCATGAGCATGGTATGGTTTTCCACCTGTTTACGTCCTCTGCTATTTCCTTCCTCAGTGTTTCATAGTTCCCCCTGTAGAGGTCTTTTACCTCCTTAGTTAAATATATTCCTAGGTATTTTATTTTTTTTTTGTTGCTATTGTGAAGGGTATCAAGTCTTTGATTTGGTTCTCAGTTTGACTGTTGTTGGTGTATAGGAACGCTATTGATTTCTGTACATTGATTTTGTAACCTGAGACTTTGCTGAATTTGTTTATCAATTCCAGTAGTCTCATGGCAGAATCTTTGGGGTTTTTAAGATATAAGATCATATGGTCAGCAAAGAGCGATAGTTTGATCTCTTCTGCCCCCATTCGGATGCCCTTAATTTCCTTCTCATGTCTAATTACTCTGGCTAGGACTTCCAGTACTATGTAGAATATAAGTGAGACATATTCTTATCTCTTTCACCTAAACTAGGGTCTGCTCTAAGAATAGTAAAACTGAATGATTCCAAAGTGTACTAAGTGGAGGAAAACCAGAATGAACTGGTTAAAATTTTGAATTGCAGAATAATTTAACAAAAGCAAAATTTGGAGCTATGAGATTGGATTGTTTGGCTTCACATCTTGGTTCTGCCACATGATACCGCTTGTACCACTGGACAAGTTTTTTCACTTCTCAATGCCTCAATTTCTTTATCAGTAAAATAGGACAGTTATTAATAGCTACCTCATGTGACTTGTGAGGATGAAATTAATTAATACATGTAAAAGTACTTAGAACTATGCATAGTCCAAGAAAAGAATTCAATAGTTAATACAGGTCACGTATCCCTTATCCTAAATGCTTGGGACCAGATTTTTTCAAATTTTAGAATATTTGAATTATATATACTTACCACTTGAGCATCTCAAATCAAAGAATCTGAAATCTAAAATGCTCCAATGAGCATTTACTTTGAGCTTCATTTTGGGCCCAAAAAGTTTCAGATTTTGGAGCTTTTCAGATTTGGGATGCTCAATCTGTAGTTAGTTAATATTATAATTATTCTCACTATTAAACAGAAAGTGACAGCAATGTGTTGCCAAATATATCATGGAAAGCCAGTTGTTGGTCTTTTTATTTTTCAAATACACTAATAAAACAAATATGCCTACCTTACAGAAGAATTTTAAGGCAATGGAAAGGAAAAGAAAATCACTGATAATGGTAAATAAAACTCCTAACTCTACTGTTATTAGCATTTCCTTCTGATCTTTTTTCCTATGTTCCTATTGAAAATCTTGCAGTGGTTTCCACATTCTCTACAAGCTTAAGCCCAAATTTTGTTGCATGGTGAATGATCTACTCCTCACACCTGGACTTCAGGCTCTTCCTAAACACATCATGCAATCCCACTCCTATGTATATCTTCATGCTTTTCTGCACTTACATTGCTTGGTTCAATTGCAGTCCAAGAGCATTTATAAAATTCTAAAGTCTAAAGTTACAAACTCAAGCAAGTCTTGGACCTTAAAAAATGCTCGGTCAAGTTTCCCATCTGACAGACCATTTTCTCCTCCCCTCTTTCTCAATCTGTCCAGCAAGCAGCTGTTCACGTTGTATGAGTCAGATCAAACAAGTCTTCCTCTGGGATACATTTTCTAATTTGTTTTCCAAGGTAGAATTGATGGCTTTGGTTTGCCACACACCCAACAGTACCTTACACAGATTTCTTTTAGAACACTGTAATACTGTAATGCACATACTGTTTCCTTATCTGTCTTCCCCTATTAAACTACAAACTCCCCCAAATCAGGAAACAGATCTAATTCATCTTTGATTCCCCAGTATGTACCCAAGACAATGCTGACATTTCATAGGCATTAAATAAAATGAATGAACGGATGATCCTGAATTTTTACATTGTTGTAATTATGGTATGTATACAGCCATGTGTCATTTAACAATGGGGATATGTTCTGGGAAATGCATCATTAGGCAATTTTGTCATAGTATGAAGATTATAGCTTGTACTTACACAAAGCTAGATAGCCTATTGCTCCCAGGCTACAAACCTATACAGCATGTTCCTGGACAGAATACTGTAGATCACTGTAACACAATGGTAAGTATTTTTGTATCTAAACATATCTAAATATAGAAAAGGTACAGTAAAAATACAGTATTATAATCTTATAGGACCATTATCACATACGCAGTCTCTTGTTGACCAAAACGTTATGTGGCACATGACTGTATGAGTTATATAGCCCGTTTCTTTTTCACTTGTTTTATCTCAAGTAATTTCCATATGGTTACAATCACTATTTTAATGCTTATTCAATAGTCCTTTGAAAATCGGTGCTGCCCAATAGAACCTTCTACACTAATGGAAATGTCCAGTATCTACACTGTCCCATACAGAAGCCACTAGTCACATGTGGCTACTGAGCATTTGAAATGTGGCTAGTGTGACTGAGGAACTGAGTTTTTAATTTTAATTATTTTAAATCTAAATTTAATAGCCACTTGTGACTGGTGTCTACTCTGATGGACAATACAAGTTTAGACCATAATTACTGAGTACTTCCTTTTGAATAACAAATGAGACACATTTCCAAGGGGAGGGTACTTGAAATATTTAAAATATTTTGAAGTCTAAATACACCTACCATTTCCACCTAAAATTTTCATAATCTTAATTTATTTGAAAGCTTGTACTTCCATATATAATGCAAAGGTAAATATCAACACCCATCCATAGAATGCATTCCAAATTCATGGGCTTTAATTAATTGGATATTATAAAATGTATCTACTGGTAAAGTTTTTACTGAAGCACAGTGGTTAATGAGAAGACTCTTGAATAAACTTTACCAGATGTGCCTCTTTGAGTAAAATTATCTCTCCAGCCAAAGACCAAAAGCTTGCTCTCGAAGATAAGTTTCATCTGCTTCCCACACACTTTGAAAGGTATAGTGCAACTCACAATAAATCCTTACTTAAGCAATTATAATATTCTTGGAAATATAGCCCAATGTGTTTTTCAAACAGGAAAAGTCAAGTAACAGCAGAAAATTCTTGTTGCTTTTGAAATATCAGATTTCAGATGATTGCTTTCATTAGTGAAAGATTGCCATCATTTCCAGGACTCTTAAGCCATAATTAGCCAGTTTGACCTGCATCTACACTTAGCTATTTTGGTATTTTTTACCATATTTTATTATATAGTTTGTACATTGTAACATATAATAGTCAAAATACTGAATTATTGGATAAATATTTACAGTTTGGAATAATATTAATTTTGAGGTGCCAGATAAACCAGATCATGGTCTAGCAGAACTATTACGTTTGAGTTACTACTGGTCACTTGTTTTGCCCAGATGCACAGATGAACAGATACTGCCATAATCTTAAAGATGTCTCCCCTCAAGACTCCTATCCTCCAGCTATTCAAACACTAATGTAGGCACTACTGTGAAAGGACTTCATGTGGAATCATGGTTAGTCATCAGCTGTCCTTAAAATAGGAAAGTTATCCTGGATTTTGCAGATGGGCCGACAGTCATCACGTAAGCCCTGTAACAATACAAGGGGAGAGTGGAAGAGCCAGTCAAAGAAGCGGTGGATGGAAAAAGGCATGTGGCAGAAGGTGACATCAGAGAGATTCCAGGCATAAGGAGACTTTGTCATACCATTGCTGGCTTTGAGATCTAGGGGTCCAAGTACAAGGACTGGAGGGAGGCTCTCTTGGAGCTAAGGGTGGCCACCAGCTAATAGCCAGTAAGAAAAAGGGACCTTAGTCCTACAACTGCAAGGAACTCAATTCAGCCAACTACCTGAATGAGCTTAGACCTAGATGCCTCCCAGAGCCTTTTGATAAGAGCCCAACCCACTGACACCTTGATTTCAGTCTTGTTAAATCTGGAAGAGAAACCAGTCCATCCATACTGGACTTTCCACCTAAAGACATGTGAGATAATAAATTTGTGCTTTTTTAAGCTGCTAAATTTGTGATAATTAGTTATGGCATCAATAGAAAAGTTCTATAGATACCAAATTAATCATTCAATGATCTGGCAGGTTATTGAACTATGTGCAAACTACAGTACATGTTTTTGTTTATCCATGATCTAAATGTGGTCTCAGGTTAAAATGTAAACTTTTATTTCTTAAAACTATGAAATGGAAATGTTTCAATGTTTTCTAACGTTTAATTCCTTTTACATATAAATGTAATTTAAATTTATATAATAGGAAAGACTAAGTTACAGGAAGGAACTTGTAACTTGCTTTGATCCTAATGTTTGGCTATGAAAGCACAGTATAAAAACATGATAGTGCCAGGCGAGGTAGCTCATGCCTATAATCCTAGCACTTTGGGAGGCCGAAGCAGGAGGATTGCCTGAGGCCAGGAGTTGGAGACCAGCCTGAGCAAGAGCAAGACCCTGTCTCTACAAAAAGTAGAAAATACAAAAAGTAGAAAAATTAGCTGGGCGTGGTGGTGCATGCCTGTAGTCCCAGCTACTCGGGAGGCTGAGGCTGGAGGATGGCTTGAGCACAGGAGTTTGAAGTGGCAGTGAGCTATGATGAGTCCACTCTAGCCAGAGTGACAGAGTGAGACCGTGTGTCAAACAAAAAACCATGATAGATCAAGAGTTTCTTGAGAACAGAGACTATGTCTCTTTATTATCTTTATCTATCTTCACATCTATACATAGTAAATATTGCATAAATGTTTGTTCAAAGTTGTATATATTGATTTGCCTTTTTGCTCTAAGAAAAAAGTTTACTTTAAAAACTATATGTTGCATATGTTTTCCTACAGGTTATGTTTTCCAATCCAGTGCTAGAAAATCCAGTGAATTTGGAAGCAGCCCAAATACTGATGAAAGATGAATCTTTGTACAGAACAATAATTCTAAAACTTTTGAAGGAGCCATTACAATGTAAGAAGTGCCTACTTATTTTATTTGGCAATTATCAATAAGACATTAAACATTTATAGCAAATACGTGATCTAGCAAATAATTGTTGCATAAGGGAATATTTGAATACTTTCTGTATCCATTTTCAGTAACAAAATGGTACTAAGATCTCTCCTACTTTAACTCTTTGTCAAACCAATCAGTGCGATCCTTTTTTAAGATTACCAAAGATCTTAAACTAAATATCTTTTATTCATTTATTTTTTATTTCAGCATATCACAGGGGTACAAATATTTAGGTTACATATATTGCCTTTGCCCCACCCATGTCAGGGCTTCCAGCAAGTCCATCCCCCAGATGGTGCACGCCGAACCCATTAGGTGTGTATATACCCATCCCCTCCTCCCCCCCCACCTGCCCAACACCTGATGAATGTTACTACTAAATGTGCACGTTAAGTGTTGATCAGTTAATACCAATTTGATGGTGAGTACATGTGGTACTTGTTTTTCCATTCTCGTGATACTTCACTTAGTAGAATGGGCTCCAGCTCTATCCAGGATAATACAAGAGGTGCTAGATTGCCATTGTCATGGTCATGTGGATGGATGGTGCCGATTGAAACCAGTCTACCCATCATAAAGATATGACATCTAATTTTAACTATTCGATCTATAAAGAATACTTCCCAGAACTCACCTATGGTACCCCCGATCTTACTGATTTTCACCTCTTTTCTTCTGGATTAGCAAAGCGTCACCATTGTTTTCAGGAGCATTCCCTCCCCAGGTATTCCTTCAAAGAGGCCATGTGGAAATGGTGCCTGAAGTTCTTCAGTCTGTCTGCTTTGTTAACTAGTGTTCTTCTGATACTCTTGGTTTCTGCCAGCAGCCTCTTTGTGAGTCTTAACTCCTTTGCGTCCATTGCTCCCGGGCTCTCTCCAGTTAGCAGAGCAGTGCTGTTTGCCCCTTGTGTCCAGGGGGTTGCCCATAGTGAGAGCAGGGCCCCTAGTGACAAGTTCTTTCCTTTATGTCCTGTCCCTCCTTCTGCTAGCACATAGCAGCCTTACATAGCAGCTGGTATCGTTACCTCCCAATCAACAGGCCTTGATCTCTTACAGTGATTTTCTCTCAGGTTTCCATTACTTTCCATTTCCCCTCTAGGACAGCCCCCAACCCCCAGTCCTTTAGTTTACACTTGTGACCAAGTTCAAGTGCTCCTCCCCCACAGGGCTTTTGGGCCTTATGCAAATCGAGATTGTTGATCAGCATCTTCCTGGGATCTCCAAACATGCCATGATTATCTCAGAGCTCCTCAAACATCCCTGACAGTTTTAAGGCTGATGTGCACGCAGAGAGCAGTACTGCTGACCCCATTTCTGACCTGCCAGCATCCTGTGGCATTCACTGCTCTATCCTCTGCACTTACAATGGTGCCGGTACGCAGTAAGCACTTGTGGCATGGATGAATGACACATATTACTTAACTTTTCATTGAGTGCTACAGTACTACCATTACAAAGAAATATTCCACAGAACAAAGCTATGTCCATATTCTGGTGAAGGGCACTTTTAAAAACTGGTTCTAAAGAATATTCTGCAGCAAATGATTCTTCAGATGTTGGTCGATGTTGGTTTTGTCCAACAGAGAGAAAAGGGTGAGAAGAAACCTGAAGAGGAGTCAGCCCTTTTTTTTTGTCCTCCACAAGTAGACATCACCTTTCACTCCTCTCAGTTCTCCAACTTTGCCATCACACCTGACAGAAAAGCTGCTCAAATTGCCAAACCACCCAGCAAATGAGCAACAAAGCAAATAGTATTCGTACACTGGCAAATTCTCACTGTATGATTTGAGTATTTATCCTACTCTGGTTTGGTGGGCCTTCATCTGGAATGCCAGTATGCTCAACTTGGAGCATCACATTGCCAGTATGTTAGCCAGTAGATAAAGGGCAATTGTAAATGCTGTTTTCAAATACCTGAAGGGACTTCATTTAGAAAAGGAGATTTCTTCTGTGTTGCCCCAGAAAACTAAAGTAGGGCTAACATTGAAGCTACAGGTCAGTCATACCTTCCCCGGGCCTGCTGGTTTGTGGCCACTGAAGTTCAGAATACACAGACTTGGCCCTGCCTTGTGTCAGAACGTATCTTACCTGTATTAGGGATTCTTTTTCCCTGTAATCAGTTGTTTGGAATTAACTTTGTTATCCTAAGCCTAAACCTGGTATTTGATATGCAGACATGCAAATGCCTCTCATTACCTAAACTTTTTCCTAACGTCTGTTATGTCTGCCTAACCTGAACAGCTACATCTTTGCCTTGGTGTATTGACAAGAAGACATGAAGCTCTGAGCTCAAGCTTAATTTTGAGGTCTGATGATCTTCCCATGTTATCCTGACAGCTTCCTTTCCTCGCAGCCTGGCCCCTGTCCGCCTTACTTAGAGTGCTTACATACCCCAGGCTGCCTGGCACAGTCCCAGTAACCGCTTTCACTTGCAATGTACCAGTTTGAACAATAGATTACATAATCCACTGTGTGCCTAACTGATCTTTCCTAGAAGCAGATGCCACCAGAGTTGCACCGTCCTTAATGGTAAAGTCCGAGCAGGTCCTCACCCAAACATGAGGAAGAATTCTTCAACAATTCAAGTTGCTTAAAAGAATGGACAAGGCCAGGTTGGCAGTTAGTAAACTCCCTATTACTAAAGGTGTTCGTTCCTAACTAGTGTTTATTTAGTAGAGTTAAATGACCATTTTTCAGGAATGTTGTTAAAGAGCTTCTTGCCTGGCGTCAGGAGTTGGATGACCAGACTTTTCAAGTACATTCCGACTGATTCTCCAGTCAGTTTATGAAAACTCAGAGGAGGAAGTGTGGAAGGACACAGTGCATAACAACTGTTGGCTCCTATATTCTGAGTGTTACTAGTTCCTTTCTAATTTGTTATGGGCTTTCATAGGAGGAGCTATATGCCTTTTTTTTTTCAGTTTGTCCTTGTGAATTTTGATTTCTGTGTGATTATATGGTCAAATAATATTTATCTTCTGTTTTCCATGGTTGTTTTGATTTTTAAAACATAAGGTTCATCTAATTTAAAAAATCTTTAGTTGAAGGAAAATGCAAGAGCATAACAATAGTAAAACTGAGTAATGGTAGCTAAGCATGAGGTAATGATTTTTTTCTTAGCCAGGTATATTCCTATAGTTTTTGATAAATAAAGGAGGATCATCCTAATAAGTTTCAGATACTTACCTAAATAAACCATAATATAATAACTGACAGATGAGTCATAATAATAGAATAGAGGGAATTATGGAAATATTAGGGAGATTATAATACTAATTTATGTTATATACTTTTAAAAAACCTGATAATTGTGCAAATACATCTGCCTTGCTTGTGGTTAGGAAAAATGTCATAAGCATTTTATTCTTCTCCAATTCAAACTCCCAATTAGTTCACTGTTTTCTTTAATCCTCTAATAATAGAGCAATTTTAAAGAAAATTGTCTCTATAATTGAAGCAGCTGATATCTCATAGGATTTCAGATCTCTGTTTCTTTTCTTTTTAGAGTGAGTATGTTTTTCTGATTAGGTGTAGGACTACTCCTTCCCCCAAAAAATATACTTTCTGCCTGTCTAGGGGAAAGAAATTTAGTCCAGTAGCATTGCCTACTTGTTAAAAAACATGAGCTTTAGCACCATTATTCAGAATCAATTTTGTTGTTGATGATTACAGTATTGTTACAGATATCCTGCTACCTACAGATGTCAGGAGATACAAAAAGCCTGAGTTTAACAGGATGGTAGTATGTGGATCTGTTTGCTGGGGTTACATACCTCCTTTTTCCTGTTTGTATTTCATCGTATCAGATAGTCAAGTAACTTTTTAGAAAAGTCTCTAAGTTGCTAGTTTTAACTAAAAATGTTAAGTATTTATTTTCTATCAAAGAAATAGATGTTTAGAGCTTTAAAGGACAAATAGAAAACGGCTTTTAATAAAATACAGCAGACCTTAGAAGCCCGCATCGTCTATCCCTGAGTGCTGCCCCCTAGAGGCAACAGCGGTTTCTAACACATTTAGCTGTTGCTTCTCGCATTTGCCACTATATTTATTTCTAAGCTTATTCTATACTAATATTCCTGAGGTTTTCCATTTTAGATATTATTTATGGGCTTCATTTTATAAAATACAAAGATTTAGCTTTTATGCTGCCATTCCCACCCACATTTCCTCTCCCCCATCCTCCTAATATAGTTTGGTTACATTAATATGACTTTGTAAATATTTGTCACAGATAAGTGATGAATGATTTTCTTTCTTGTACAAACGGCCTGATTTTCCATTCCCTTGTTTTATTGTTTCTACCCTCTGTAATTTCCCTAAACTATCTGACAAAGTTGTAAAACAACTCCCAGGTATTCAATCAGTGTTGTTAAGTCCTTTGTTTTCATTTTTTGTTTCTTGTTTTTGTCCCCTGTGGCACTCCACCCCATCACCCCACACTCCTTCAGTTCTGTAGGTATGCTGGAATGACCCTTTCGTCTGCCTCCTGGGTTTGGAGGTTCCTGCTCGATCCCTCATTTTCCTTGTGGTTGCTTTGCTCCTTCATTTTGTTGGAGTACACCTTCTAGGAGTTTCCTGGCATATGGGAGCTAAATCTTTTATGACTTTGCATGCCTAGAAATATAATTATTCTACCTTCATATGCTCATAGTTTGGTTAAATTTTAGCTTGGAAATAATTTTCTTTCAGAATTGTAAAATCCTGTTACCTTCTAGTTTCTAGTGTTGCTCTTGAGAAATCCGATTTCATTCAGATGTCCAATTCTTCACATGTGATTTATTCTTTCTTTCTGGAAGCTTTTAAAATCTTCTCTTTATTCCCAGTGATCTGGAATTTTTTGATAATGTTTCTTGATGTTTTGTTTTTGTTTGTTCACCCCCAACTCATCACATAGGGCATTTGATAAACTATTGAAATCTCAACCTCTAATCTTTCGGTTCTGAGAAATTTTTGTATATGACTTCTTTTATAATTACTTTCCCTTCCATTTTCCCTGTTCTCTCTTCTGTAATAGATCTCCTATGATTTGAATGTTGGATCTACTGATCTAATCCTCTAATTTTTAAAATAAAATTTCTTATCATCCATCTCTTTATTTTTTGTTATATATTTTGGAAGATTTCCAGAAAAAAAAATGTGCTTCTGTTTCCTATTTTTCTCCTTTTTTTAAATTTTTATTGTTGTCATTTATGATATTGACCTTGCTCAAATGCCTAGTGATGTTCGTCCATTCCTAAAATGGACATATGATGAATGGTCTATTAAGATTGGAAGTTCTGAATACAGGCTGGGCTTCTTGACAGTGTTATTTCATTGTAGAGTTCTTCAGTGAGCACCTCACCATTTCTATAGGCTTAACTGTTTCTCCTGAGAGGAATCTTCCAATCTTATGCTGAGAGAGAGCAGGGGTGGGGGTAGCTTACACTCTGAGAGCTGGACAAAGGGAGAGAGTCAGGAATCTTGTCTGTTCAATATGATTTATTCCCTTTTCAGTCCTTTACCATACTCCTGTTCTTTGTTTCTAATATTCTCCAATCCTAAGTCTCTCTGGCTCAGTCTCTCTGGAGATTAAACATCCTCCCTCCTGCCTGGGCAATGGTGGTCATCTGGTCACACAGGATGAGGCTTTGGTGTCTGTACTCTACCACTCAGCCCTCCTTTCAGAGGTATCAGCTACCTTCAATTCCTGAATTGTTTCCTGGGTTCTGCCGTGCAAATCCACTTGCTTTTTTATTGGCATCCTCTCATCATGCAGTTAGGTTTCAAATTTCTATGGCCTGCTAAGACAGTTACCACTTGACATCTGCTTTCCATCTTGAAAAATTTTCTTGTCATCTTTCTTTCACTCTCCTTGAGTTTTTATACCTTATTTTTATTCCATTATTACCATTTTATTGAGCCTTTGGAAAGAGTGCACATAAAGCCATATATATTCAACCTCCAAGTAAACCAGAATTCTTTCATATTTTCCTTTACAGCAAAAGATGACAGCCCAAAGTTACCGAAAGAACCACATAAATGTACTGGGTGAGTTTTTCTTTATACAATTTTGTCAGTTTATTTACCAAAAGGACTATTGATTTAAACGGTTTATCTTTTTCATTGTAACTGAATTTTTGTAACTTAGAAAAGGAAGTAGATATCTTTTTCTTTTGTAATACCTTTAAAAATATTATTTTCTGGAAGAATGTGGGAAATTATTGAATTCTTTCTGGACTATTGAATTAAAATTAAATGTAACTATATGAACTTGTCTATTCTTTTATTTTTATTTTTGAAATAGAAAAAAATGTATTAACAAAATGAGCAAAAACCATTATAGATCACAAAAATTCAAGCAATTTAGGAGAAGATAAGGTTCTAAAGAAACATGGTGAGAGTTAGGACTGAGCCATTGTGCCTTTGGGAGACAAACTGACAATGTGGCATCAATTCAGCCTTGAACACTCGAACAAGGTGTAAGTCTATTAATAGAATCTCAGCTATGGTTCTGCAGTGTTTAGTTTCTTGAGCATTTCCATCAGCTTTATTTTGATTGTCAACCAGATGTAGAAAACAGCCAATTAACTAGTGTTGAAATAGTGCTCACTTTAGGTCATGTGTCCTTCACTGGCCCTGTAGAGAAGGTTGGATAAAATTAGGTAATTTAAGCGGCTTCCATTTGTGAAACAATGTTGAAAAATTGCAGGGAGATAAGCATAATCTAGTTAAGAGTGCACTGGGTTGCAATTCTATAAAGCACATTGCTGTCCTTTAAACGTGTCAATGTGGTAAAAAGCACATGACCATCCTGGCACAAAATAGGCCTGTGATAAATAGTCACTCAGTACATAAACACTATTTTATCACCTGTAAAACATGAATGTCCCTAGAATATCAAAAAGTTATATTGTGGTATAATTATTTGCAGTGTATAAAGATATTGTGCCAGCATTTACTAATATAAAGCAATAGAAACAGACCAGAAGACCTCCTATGGTCCCAGTTTCAGCAAGTCCTCTATACTAAACCAAGGATAAATGATGCCAGGAATCAGGTCTGATTTGTGGTGTTCACCTTGTGCCAGCCTGAACTCTCTAGAAAAGCCTTTAGGCAGGATGCAGTTGAAACAATGCAGTCTGGATTTCAATGATACTCTACACTCCTGGTGTATATAAGGCTACAATTTGTTGTGTATCTGAGAATTCTAATGTTTGCTCTAGTACATTTGTTCTGAAATAGAACTGAGTTACATCTAGTTTTTAGTTTTTAAATAATGCATTCACAATGAGGTCTTGCAGAAATTATTTAAAGAGAGTTGCTACTCACAGCATTGTATCAGTCTAGCACCATATGCTTAGAACTTTGCATTAAGTCATGAGCTGGAAGAATTACCTGGCTGTAGAAATGTATTCCAGAGGCATAGCCAGGCAATTGAAACCCTGTTTCCAAAAGGCGTAACAAAACTCAGGCAGAGTCCAGTCCACTGGGTAGAATATAGTCAGGGGAATCCAGCTGATATTCAGTAATTAAAGGTGATGAACTTGTGCTAGTCCTCTGGGATATTTGTACATGGTCTATAGGCTACCATTTCCAGGTTAGGGGACAGGTTTTCACCTCCTGCGAGAACAGCTACTTATTCCTGTATTTAAAATGCATCCACTGAGCATATGCTCTAGGCCCAGCACTGTGTCCCAGTGGTGGGGATACACACCTGAACCATACGTGATCCCTAACCTCTCAAAATCAATACTTTAGGATTGGAAGCTCCTCTCTGAAGGGGAGACAGTACAGAGAGTAAGCCTAACTTTTGGTCTACAGGACCAATGTAGGGGGCATCTTACACCAGAGAATGTAATTGGAAGGCCACAGGGCAAATATCAGGATCATGGCCAAGGGAGGAATGCTAGGGTCAGGCTGAATCATATTTAAAATGAGTCATATTGAACAGAAACTTATTCCCTATGGCTTTTATTTTTTCTAGGCTTCCTTTAGAGGCCTTCACTTTTTCACCAAGTCATCTATTTCTGGAACCCCTTCTTTTAGATTCAACCTAATGTTTTATTGGCTGGGCCTGTTCATTGTTGTATTTCATAGATATAATAGAATAAGTGCTATGATAGATCAAGGCGGTGGGGGAGCACAGAGGGAGAAACATCTGACCGAGGCTTAGCGGGGGGCTGGAAGGGAGCAGCAAAGACCAGCTTTCAGCAGGTGATGTCCAGGTGCTTTCTAAAGGCAGGGTAGGAATTCACCTGTAGCCTATGGGCCAGAGGAGTCTAGGCAGAGGGAACAGCAGATTCGAAAGCACCCAGCTATGAGAGGGCACATTTCCCACAGCCTCACCCAGAGGAAGGCATTTGACAAGCTGAGTAAAAAAGTAAAAATGAGTCCCAAATGCCAGGGGCAACCACAGTGTGAGTATCAGGAGCTGAGATACAAAACCAAAGGAGGAAAGAGAGAGGAGGATTGGTTGCTGGAGAACAAGGGAGGAGAGGAAAATGACACAGAAATGGTCAGAATGCTAAATACACGTATGTGTGTGTGTGTGTGTGTGTGTGTGTGTGTGTGTGTGTGTGTGTGTGAGTGGCTAAATCATTTAAAGGGGCAGGAGGAAGACAAAATTTGAGGGATATAGACAGAGAAGAGACTAACCTTCGCTGCATTTCATATTAAAAAAGTCCTGAGATAAATGCAAGTCTCTGACGCAGCATTTCCGCTTCTAGAAATTTATCTTTAAGGATATAATTGAGCAAGTGTATAAAGATAGACTCCAAGAATGTTAATCATAGAATTGTTCATAGTGAGAAATTGAAAACAGAATGCCCAACAAAATGGACTGATTAAATAAATATTGGTTTAGGCATATAATGTGCAAAAAGAAGCTTTAGGACAAGATTCTGGAGACTTATATTTTTTTAACAGAAAAAGTCAGTAAAAAGTTGGATGTAGAAATTCGGCGTTACCAGATGAAAAGTTCTAGAGATCTATTGTACAACAATGTGAATACATTTAACGCTACTGAACTATACACTTAGAAATGGTTAAGATGGTAATTTTAATGTTATATATTTTTTACCATAATAAAGTAAATGAAAAGTGTAGGTTATGAAATATTTTTTGGTAGTATCTCTCACACACACACAAACACACACACTCTGAGAGGCAGTTTAAATGTTAGAAGAGAGTGGTATTTTACAGGCACACTAAGACTCTTGGCAGAGAGAATCAACAGAACAAAGACCCTAAGCTGAATATGAGCATGGAATGTCAGAGAATCAGTAAGAAGGCCAGTGTGGCTAGAACACAGCAAAGAGGAAAGAGGGGAGAGAGACATGAGCTAAGGGAAGTAGGCAGGCCCAGATCACTTAGGACTTTACAAACCAGGTAAGGAATTTGGATTTATTTTATTATACCAGGTATGGGAATTGGGACACAGTCGGACAGTTTTTAAGAAGGGGAGAGACAGAATCAGATTTACATTTTAAAAGGAGTACCTTGCTGTGAAGGTAATGGTTTGTGAAGGATATAAAGTGGCAGCAAGCAGAAGAGTTATTAGATTATTTTAGTAGAACAGAGGTGAGACGATGGTGGTTTAGGCTAGGGTTGAGGGCATAGACACATCACCACTTCTATTCAACATTGTACTGGAAGTCCTAGCCAGTACAATGAGGCAAGAAAAGAAAAAGTTTGGAAAGGATGACGTAAATCATTTTATTCACCAATAACATGATTATGAACACAGTAAAATCCAAATGAATAGATATTAATAAAACCTGAAAATTAATAAATGAATTTATCTAGGACTCTAGATACAAGGTGGAAGTTAATATTAAAAATCAACTATATGCCTATATACTCACAATCAACAAATAGAAAATGAAATTTTAAAAATACCATTTACAATAGTATCAACATATTAACAAAACATGCATAAGACATCTGTACTGAAAACCACAAAATACTTACGAAAGAAAATTTAAAAGACCTAAAGAAATAGAAATATACAATGTTTGTGGCTTGAGAAAGACTCAATATTATTATAATGTCAATTTTTCCCAAATTAATCTATAGATTCAATTCAATCTCAGCCAAAATCTCAGCACCTTTTTTTTTTTTGGAAATTCATAAGCAGGCTGTAACATGTATCTAGAAGTGCAAAGGACATAGAACAAGAAGGCAATCTTGAAGAATAAAGTCAGAGGATTGACATCCCCAGATACTAAGATGTACAATGAGCTTGACTCTGGATTTTTTTAAGTGGAGTTCCTGTCCCTGACACCTTAGTCAGACAGCCGTGAACCCATCAGCCTCTGATCTAGAGCCACGAGTTGAGTCTGCTTCATCAAGGTGCATGGTGTCTACATAATGGGGAGAATGAAATAGCTATTGAGGAGGCGACCACAATGTCCACTGTGACAGCCTTCATATACACAATAATTTTACTGGACCCAAGCCTTGATGAGTAAGAGTTTGACAAGCACAGAGAGAAAAAGAGTCTCTAGATAGAGCAGCTTGCGTGGAAACAAGAGTGTAATATTATGGTGTGCTCAGGATTGGTGGGAAATTCTATGCGATGGAGCCTCTGGATGGGGGATAAATAGCAGAAGAAGAGGTTGGAAACGGCCAGATGGCAAAGAGCCTCCAGTTCTATGAAGTATTTAGACTTCGTCCTATAGAGTTACATAGCCAAATGTGGTTTTCAGACACAGGTATGTAACCTGGCATGGGGAGAGGCTGGGGCAGGAGAACAATTAGGAAGCGGTTTAGAGAACAGCAGGAGAGAAATGATGAGGTGCCGATCAAAGGCAGTTGAGACCAGCTGACACTGAGTGCTGAAGAGGTGCTACCCTTGGCTCTTTTCGTGCATGATTTCCTCAAATGCTCACAACCACCGCCTGAGAAGGTTTTATCTCTTGATTTTGTAGATGAGGAAACAGGCTGGGAGAGGTTAGGTAACTTACTCAGAGTCACACAGCTAATAAGTAGCAGTGCCAGAGGGTTTTAGCACAGGCCAGCTGATTCCAGACCCTCCGCTCTTCATCATGATACTGTACGACTAGGTCGCCATGCAGAGGAAGGTTCCAAACAGAGATATTTAGACATTTAATCATTAGGCTTTGGTGATGCCTGGGATGTTGCTTCCATGAAACAGCACTACCCTGCTTTTCTTCTTCTCTTAAAGAAACTTTCTCTTTCCCTCCTGCCTCCTCTTCACTAGGAGTGGGTTCCTGCTCTTTCTTTTCAAAACATTTACTTACTTTTTTAAAAGGAGGTTGTTTTCCCTAATGGCTTCATCTATCAATCTTTTTGTTGATTTTTGACCCAAATCTTTTCTTTCCAGTCTCAATTTCTCAATCACACTTCTGAAGGTCATTTTGACTTGTCTGTCCTATCATCACCTAAAACCCATGTCTAAAATTAAACTCATATTTTACTTCAGTTTCCCTCGATGCTTTCTGTTAATAGCGAAACTAACTAAGCTTCTGGGCTTGAGAATATTTGACCCGAGCATTCCTTCACCTTTCACACCCTGTCAGGCACCCAGGCCAGTCAGAGCCTTAGCGCGGTCTCAGATTCATCTCCTCCCCCTCCTAACCTCTGCTCCCGCTCTGCCGCTAGCTCTCAGTACCTCACGCCTGAATTACTGCATTTGTTTCCTGACTGGTCTCCCTGCATTTAATCTCCCTTAAAAAAAAATCCACCCTGCATATGACTCCCAAAGAAAACTCTTGCTCCAACACTAATTTCATAATTTACTTGCCTTGTTCGAGAACTACCTACTACCTAATGAATCAAGATTACTGAATCAACTCTAACCAGTTCTGTCTAAATTCGAAGACCCTGCACTGCCCAGTTTCACTTATTTTGTCAAATTTCAGTTCCTCTAAATTTGAACTCTCCACTCAAGTCAAGGGTCTTAATTCCTATCATCCCTTCCCCCAGCATCCTCTGTGTGCATACCGCCACGCTCCTTCCCGGCTCAACTATCGCTAATCCTGTTCCTCCGGCCTAGGACGCCTCCTTCCTTTTTTCTAGACTCATATCCCAAGTGAGTCTTTCCCTGATGGCTTCAAAAGAAAAAGTTATATCTCCTTCCTCCAACTTCTTTTGCTCGTTGCCACTACCAAAGAAGTATCTGTTAGCCTCCAAATATCTGTGTGAAATTGTGTAATATTTTATTGTATTAATATAGAAAGCTGTTCTGTGCAGTAGTCCAGGTATATATCTTATTTTCCTAACAAGATAATAAGCTCTAATGTTCAGTTTAAAATTATGTCTTCTACATTTTTTTCATAGTGTCTATGATAATACTTAAAAAATTCCTGTTATTGGTTGAAACTATAAATGCATCTGTTTTTATGCTCTGTGTATTCCTGTAAGCTTAGTAGTTTATCTGAATAATAGTAAAATATAGTTACTGTTCTCTTATTTTAAAGGGATGTTTCCTTTATAGAATTGAAATTGCAAATATTCCCAAATGTTTAAGACAGTCTGCTTTGTATATTCAAACTATACTAAAGTTATACCTTTTAGGGCAATATTTTTAATTATTCCGGGAGAAGAAAAAGAAAGCCCCTGAAGGCTAACAGTTTGAAATTGAACAGGACACCCTTGGGAAGGGAGAGGGTCATGGGTCATCGTCAAACAGACAAAAAACAATGGAGACGATTGTGTCTGAAGATGGTGTATTTTTTGCACGAGACAGTGTGTTGACAGTTTCCTTCCTCTTGGGTCATTGTTGTATGCTAAATGATCTGTGACAGCAAATTGATCACAAGCTTTTTCATGCAGGAGATATAATGCAGCCTTTCATTTTGTTTCCTCTGTTGCCAAATGCCGAAACATTTTGTTGGCAAATTAATGTTAGTTTAGTATATCATTTAGCAGTCTAAAGCATGCCATGCAGCTCTGGAAGCAATAATGATAATGATTAATTTATCTTCCGGTTTCAAATTTCTACTTAAGTGTGATTGCAAAAGTATAATAATAACACATTTGAAAAATGTTAGCCTTAAAATTAGGTGTCCATAATTGTTATTTAAATAAATGAATGCATTAACACATTTAGATATTGCCCCATTAATTTCAAAGTTGAGTCAAATATTTACTTTAAGGTACTCTATGATTTAGCTATAAAAATTAATGCTAATGTACTTGTTCTAAGTGAAAAGTTGCTTCTTCTTCCAAAGAGCTAGGAACTTAAATTGGAAAACAGACATAAGCCATATTACCTTTGACGTTGAAGCATCTATTTAAGCCAGTTAATTGGTGATTTTACATGTCTGAAAAATATCCCTAAGTAATGTTCTGTTTATAGAGTGTTGAGAATCTATGTGTTCAAAAAGTTTATAGGAAAAATACTTGAAAATGTAGTTATTTAAGAGACTGCTGTTATAGTTCATTATTGATAGTTATATTGATATATAACAATCTTTGCTCTCCCATTAGGACCTAGTAATATTGGCACAGGAAGGAAAGTGCAGGCAAAAGCATTAGAAGAGTTATTTTTTTCCCTCTTTGATAGCCAGACTCTTTGTAAAAATTAAACTAATCTTAATTCTGATGCATTTAGTCTCTCCTAATAATAAGGAAATAAAGGTGATTTTTACTAAAATTTGGTACAGAAGTTCAAGAAGACTATTGCAAAATGAGAAAATTTACAGGTGTGATGCTTTGCTTAGAGTTCTTTTTTAATGTTATTCATGAAAGGCAGATGTCTTAAACCTATTTTTTTTGTAATATACACATGGGTGCACATTTTCATTTATTATTGAAAAATGATTTGGACAGATTTTCTTTTTTGTGATTTGTATCCATTAGTGGTGAAATGAATATGTTGAATTCATTCATTAGAAATGCATATCAGAATTTGCAAATCAGTCGAATGTCTTGTGACAAGATATTGTTATCTGAACAGTCCACTATGATATAATGATTTTAAAAAGCAAATTTGTAAACTGCCCATTGTCTGATTTTTATTTGTATTTTCAGAATAATTAAAGTAGTCTCATTTAATGATTACTACAAGACATGGTCTGGAATAGCTACGTCAAAAGCCACAGAATACTACAGAACTCCATGTAAGGTGATCTAGACTTAGCCTATATCCTTTTGGTTATATTTATCTGTTAATGATTCTCAGCTTGTCTTGCTTTCAAAGACTGATTGACATATATCTGCTATGTAAGGGTGATAAAATTCTCTGTTGGCTCTGTATACTAGTCATTCAACAACTATTAATTTGGTTCCTCTTTTGTATAGAACCCTGGACTAAAGTCTGATTAAAAGCTAGAAGGAAAGACAGGCAATTGGAGGAATAAAAGACAAAGTTCTCAATCTTATGAGGTTTAGTTTTCTCCCTTCACCCCAGAAACAAGTCTTCACAGCAGGAGGAACCTTTTTAATTCTTTAAGCCGGAGGAAGTATTAGGTAGAAATTCAGCAAGCGAACATAAAACCTAGGATGGCCGGGAGCATGGCTCTCTGGGAGGCTGAGGTGGGAGGATTGCTTAAACTCAGGAGTTTGAGGCCAGACTGAGCTAGAGCGAGACCCAATCTCTACCAAAGATAGAAAAAATTAGCCGGGCATGATGGTGCAACTACTTGGGTTAGCCTCCCAACTACTTGGGAGGCTGAGGCAGGAGGATCCTTTGAACCCAGGAATTTGAGGTTGCACTGAGCTATGATGATGCCACTGCACTCTACCTCTCTACCTGGGTGACAAGAACAAGACTCTGTTTCAAAAAAAAAAAGGAAAAAGAAAAGAAAAAAACCCACGGCTGTTCAATTATATCAGTCTAAAAGAAAAAAATCATCTATTACCATCATACATTAGGAACTAAAAAGACGCGATGGGAGAGCTGGACAACTTTCTGGTTCTACTTACTTGGATCTTTAGAGTACTATTTCATTATTTGGATCAAAGTAGGTTATCCAGTCTGCACGCGTTTAGTGAAATAGGGCTTTGCTTCAGCCATCCTGAGAAAATGGCGCATTCTGAAGTTAACAGTGACTTCTTAATTCCCAGATTCCGTGATTGTGTTTTAGTCCTTTTCTTACTTGAGCTCTCATCGGCTGAGCTGTCCTTGATTTACATGACACCACACATCCATGGTTTTCTTTCTCCCTTCCTAAGCACTTCTGTGCCTGCTCTCTTAGCAATAAATTCTTCATTCAGCCCCATCTACTCACTCTCTCTGAAAGACTTCTTCCACTGCTGTGGTTTTCATTAGCCTACATGCCAGTGATTCCTAAAGCCTCTTCTCCAGCCAGGCCCCTCTTCTGAATTCTGCATGCATATTTACAACTGTGCATTGAACATCTGACCTACATGTATTACAGGCATCTCATATTTAAGATGTCCCAAAGCGAATTCACTATCCTACCCCCAAATCTACCCTTCCTCCTTTATTCCCTCTCTTGGTTAGCGGTAGACCACCATTTTTGCATTGTCTTGCCTATGCAGAGTCTTACAAGTTTCCTAGACTTCTTTATCTCTCTCATCAAACCTTACTGATTTTATCTCCTGAAATACGAATGCTTCCACTCTACTTCACCCTTATGACCACTTCCTTAGTTCGGGATCTCGTTATATTTCAACTCATTACTGTGATAGTTTCCTAACTATCACAAAAAAATAGTATCTGGTTTTAAGGCACAAATGAAGACAAAAAGTAGTACCAAGCTTAACAAATATTAAAAAAAGAGTTAATTAGATCAATAACTTTTAAGAAATCACATATTCTTTCAGGAGGTCAGTTATTAATTATTTTGTGATTACATGTTACCGTCCTCACTCACTCATAGATTAGTGGTTAAATGTAATTTAAGGTGCTTTAAGACACACAGTCTTCAGCAACTCTATCAGTACAAAGAATTTCATTATTTTCGATGCCAGAGTACGTGAATGTTTACTTCGTTTCAAAGATTTGTGATTGGGTGCTGCTTAGTCAATTCAGCAAACACATCCACTATGCGGACCTAGGATGTCTGAGCAGCTCAGCTAGGTCCCAGAGGCGATAACCCTTAATTACACAAACACTGTTCTGAGCCATTAATTGGCACACTCCAGGGAATGACTCAGAGTCAAACTCCTTCAACCAAAAAACAAACAGATTGTTACAGGATGGTGCTTTATAGAATGACATGTAAATATATAGGGGCACTTGGAAACTGCAAACTGCTAGAGAAAAAAAATAGAAGCACGTGCTGAAACTTCAGGAGATTTGGAAACGATTGTCACGCAATAAAGAATGATTGAAAAATGGAAGGAAATAGTGAGGCACCACTGACCACGATTTCTTCCTCAAAAGAGTTTGACCCCAAAATGTTTAATTTTGTTGTTTCTACATCTGTCGCTAACCTAGTATGTAATTCATCCCTGTTTGTAAAGGCAATAGCTGGTAATGGTTAGCTCTACCCCAGAAGAATTTCTGAGACTTTGAGCCTAGCACTTGGTGCAAGATTTCACAATCACCCTGCGTCTTCTTCTCCTGGAGAATTGTTATAAGAATGTTTCAAGAGCTTTTCTTGAATAATAACCAGCACTTAATTAAAAAAATTAAATGTAAACTTTACATGTGCTGCTGGCCACTTTATCTTTTGATAGTTCAGCTGGATGAGATCCAACGCTATCTTTTTTAATGGCCTAATTTCCTGGCAATAATAAAGATGAAGCTTTTAGATTATAGAATGCTTCTTCAACTGCTCAGAAATAAAAAGGAAACTTCTAATAACTTCATTTTCTACAGTTACATTCTTATCATTGGAAAGATTATTAAACTCTCGTGCATATTTTTAAGAGCTTTATCTTTTATGAATAGTGGTGGATAGTTATATTAATATTTTGATTTGGGGTATTAACTCTTCTCCGTATCTTTGTGCCACAAATCTATACATAGTCACTGATGCCATAATTATAGTAAGTTTATTCTTGTATAATGTAGTTTATGAAGTATGCTCATATATATTACGTTTTTTTAACCAACCCAATCTATCATTTTTTTATTCATTTATTCAACTAATATTTATTGAACACCTAATCTATGTCATAGTGGTATATTGACCCTATAAGCCAGGCATTATTGTTATTACCCCGTTTTACAGATGAGAAAATTAAAACCAAGAGAAGCTAAGAAACTTACCTAAGGTCACACATGTCAGGGATAATATCATATATTGGTAAACAGTGTAAGTTCTGGGGTCAGATTGGCCAGGGTTTAATCCTGGTTCTGCCATTTACTAGCTGTGTGGCCTTGGGTAAGTTTCTTAACCTCTCTGTGTCCCAATTTCTTCATCTATAAAATGAGAATAATCACAGCAAATACCTCATAGGGTTTAAGAACTTACAACAGTGCCTGGCACATAGTGAGTCCTCAAATAAATGTGCCCATTATTAATTAAGTAGGCTGTGGTCCAGAGACTTGAACCAGATCTTCTGACTCCACATTTGTTACTCTTTCTCATACCATACTGTCTCCATATTTCGACAGCAAATTGTTATCTCTGTATAGTATGAGATTTAAATTCAAACTCTGAAATACATGCAGTACACTTATAAATAATTATAAGTTTTAGCTCATAATCATAGGCAATCATATGGAAAATGTACCCATGATCCAGTGTTCTCTGTCCATCACTGTAGAATGGTAAGTAAAAGGTTTGGCAGCGAACAAACTAATACATATGGTTGTGGGCAACAGCGCCTTAACGACAGAATGTGGTCCCCATAAGGAAATGTTTATGTTAGAGGAAAAGAATCCCTCCAGATCCTTGTACTCTGTAATACCAAGCATAGGCTTCCTGATGTTTGTTTGCTGTCATCAGGACAGACCAAACAGCCTGAAGCATCATGGGGATGCTTGCTTTCACCCTAGGAGACTTCATTCTTTGAGTCTTTGAGCTAGCAATAAGGGCAAGTGTCTCCAAAACACATTTAGGAGAAGCAGCGTCGTCTGATTCTAATGCAATGGTTCTCAGTCTTGACTGCTCATTAGAACCACCTGAGGAGCTTGTAAAAATTCCAATATAGAGGGCACAGCCCAGACCAATTACATCAGCATCTCTGGGAGTAGGACCAGGCAGTAGTAGTTTTTAAAGCTCCCCAGGTGACTACAATGTGCAACCAAGGCTGGAAAGGTGGGAAGAGCATGATGTCAGAAGTTAATCACTCCTTAGTCCTGTACTAGTTTTGCCACATGCAGATAAGTGAATTCAAGTTAGTCACGTAGCTCTTTGTACCTTGTTGTTCATTTCTGTGGATCGACAAAAATATTCCACCCTACTTTAAGTTGCCGGATGGTTAGCATGAGATAGTGTGTGTGGAAATAAAACATGCTGAGGCAAGTGGGTGCTATTATATTTCTTTTGATGTGACCGTCTCAGCAGTGAGAAAAAAATTTCAGGTGAAACTCTACAAATGTTGTACAAGATGTATGTCATGGAAAAAGCAGAGTGGAAGCAATGCCCAGGAACCCTCAGAAGGAACAACAGAGAAGGAAGAAGAACTATATTATGGAGGTAATAGAGGCCGCTTTTCTACCACAGATTGCAGAACTGCCACAAAATCAAGATAGAGTAGTGATGAAGGAATTTCAAATGGCGGGACTTCCACTGAAACTTCGCTGATCTTTCTTCTTCTTCTCCTCTCTCTCTGTCTCCCCCTCTCTCTTTCCTGTCCTCATTCTTTCATCATTTCCCTCCAATCGGTGTCATTCACTGAGCGTCTGACAGCTGGCTATATGGGGAGACAAGAAGTTATGTATTGTGATAATCTTTCTGAGGAGTTTACAAGCAGGTCGTAGGAGACAGATGAGTGAAAAAAATGACAGTGATAAACTTCTCATAGAAGTGTTAAAGTAAAAGTTTGTACAAAGTCCTGTGGCCTTTTCATCTCTCAGATGATAGAGAAGGCAATGAAGAAAATGAGTCAATGATATAAAACTAATGGGACCGTTCAGGAAAGATGACCGTATCATTTGGAGTTTCATAATATATAAGAAGAGACTGCCATACATATTCCAATATAAAATGTAAGAAAGGCAATTTCAAAAAAAATTAAGGGAAGATATAAATTATCCTTAAATAGAAACCTCAAAAGGAAATAGCATTTGTGAGAGATTAAATTTTAAATTTTGGCTAAGAGTAATGAAGAGTCCCAATGAGAAGACATTACTCAACTTTTCTAGGTCTGTTTGTTCATCTGTAAAGTGGGTGTTATAATGGTAACCACTGCATACCTGCTTCACATGTTCCCAGCATATAGCAAAAATTCTATTTATGTTAGTTATTGTAATCTTTAAAGGAAATAATGAAACCTCACCAAGAACTTTGGGGAGCTCAGATTTATTTGCTTTGTTTAATGGAAGGGAGGAGCATATATCCAAATACCAATCAAGAATACTAATAAAGCCTGTGGGAATATGTATGTGTGTATGCTTATGTGTTTTTGGAGCAAAAAATAAAAAGTAAATAGGAATATTGCTGGAGAAAATCATGCAATATTAATAGAAAAAAAGGAGAACTATTCAGTTTAAAATCTTTTTATATCAATGGCAAATGTCATCAAGCTAAAAAGGGGTAAATTAATCATTATTAAAAAGGAAGCCCCAGATAAGGGCAAGACTGTTGGAGAGCATCTAGCTGGTTAAGTAGGTTCAAGATTGTAAACTCAGAACATAGTAAGAAATAGGGAGATAGAGTGTATGTGACCGTATGATCTGGCTTAATGGTATGTCATGTAAAAATTACCAGTACCTTAAACATAGTAGGTTTTTAATAAGTATTACATGAATTTAAATGAAGACATAAGGCTTATCATTAACCACAAACACATGAGCCAGTGGTGGTATGATGTGATTTCCAGAAGATGCTAATGCAGGTCTGAGCTGAATCGAAAGAAGTGTAGTGCACAGATCAGGGGAGGTAGTAATCCCATTTATGTCTTTGCCTCAAACCAAATCAAGATTCTGATCCAGTTCTGGACACAAAGTAGGAACATCAACAAAATTCACCACCAGGATGGTAAAAATAGTTGTCTCTAGAAAATCATATCCTAAGAAAAAAAATTGAAAGAACTGAGGCTTCCCTGTGAACTACCTTCAAATATTAGAGGGCTCTCTCCTGTGGGAGAGGGATGAATTTAGTATTGCTCCAGAGGTCAGAACCAGGACCAGTGGAAACTCGCAGCACTCAGGTTAAGGGAGGACACTGCAACCTTTGTCACCGGAAAGGGCAGTCTCCCAACAGCAAAGTGGTGCATTTCTGTGGTTGGCAAGGGATTCATTCAGAGCCTGGATGATCATCCATTAGAGAGCCTTGCTTTGTGAAAGATCAGGTAAGATCTGTAATGTCACTTCCAACTCCCAAATTTTATTTTTCTACTTGAAGTACTGAATTTGAATTTTCTTAAACTATGTCTTTGGTTTTTATATGTGTCATTCTACTACTTCCCTCATTACTATTGTTATAAAACAAAATTTCAATAAATTTAAAGATCTAATTGGCTTTTATTGGCGATTCATGAATGGAGTAGCATCTCATCTAAAAATAGATTTGTGCTCTGCTGAGCATGACAGAACAGTGGTTTTCACAAGGCAGCTATGGTAGGAACAAGAAAACAGAATAATACAAAAGGTGGATTGGTTAACATAAGGTACTTCAGGTTACTTTCCTTGTTAGGGTTAAAGCAAAGGACTTCCTTATCAGACCAGTTCAAGTTAACTGGGCCTCTTCTGGATTGGTTGCTGGGAATATCTTCTTTTGAAGAAAAAAAAAAAAAACACTGTTTAGGGATTTTCCTGCTTCCTTAAAATTTCAGTTTGATTGCATGGTGTTTAGCATGAGTGACTCCATTTTGGTTTGGTGGGTTGGAGTCTAGTGCAAAAGCCCAGTCCAAACCAATGGTCTCTTATAAATTTTATTTAACACTATAAATGATATATAAACAAATGTCATTATAATGAAAAAAATGTCCAAGTCACAGTCTTCTTATTTCAAACAATATGCAACATTACAAAGTTCCAATAAAGGGGAGAAATTTGGAAAGTTTCTGAGCATTGTTATATGACTTGAATTATATAGTGTATGTTATTGTCACATGTCAACTTAATGAAAAGTGAATTATTTTCAACTTTTAACTATTATTAATGAATGCATGCATAGCTCCTTTTTTTAATACTCTAATTTCAGTGCTTGAAGATCCAAATTTCATTGGACAGTATTATAAGTGGAAGAAAATGGATCTACAGTATCCTAAAGAATGGAATTCAAAGTAAGAAATTTTAAGTGCCTTGAATGCATTATGCCATTAATTTGAAATGTCTATTATTCTATTTTCTACTATCCAACTGAACCATCAGAAGAAACCCTTGGAAATAGCAACTTATGCCCTTTTCCAAGCATAAGAACAGGAATAAGAAACATCATTTCTTCTTTTCATATGAACCCAGGTGGGAAATATCTTTGCTACCTATTGGCTGCCAAAGATAGAGATAGGACATCAGCCACAGTGAAGAAATCTCACAATAACCTCCCCAATAATTCTTTTACTCTCATTTCCTTTATCAGCATATGACTTAGAAATCATAAAAAAGACAAAAAAAATTGTTTATATATCACCAATTAGCTTTTCATTCTTTTCATAGCTCCAAATAGCTTTTCTTCTTCCACAGATTTCTCACTCAGGAATCAAATATATTAAATCTAATGAGGAAGTATATAGTAAAATATAAACATAAATTATTATAATATCTTTAGAAATTATTGACTCTTAGACAACATTAAGGAGGAAACCTTCGTGTCATCTTTGGTCTCTAGACTCTGGAAGGCAGTTTCCGTGCTTCATCATGCCAGAGCAAAGATCCGTTTCAGTTCTGTGGTTCTGGGTACATCTGTTACTCTGGTGCTTTTATTTCAAGGTACTTAGTGAATGTGCTACCATACAGCCGGGGGAATTAAAGATCCTGTTTTTTGCATTTACCTCATTTACCTCGTATTGTAGCTTTTCAATGTACTATTAGCAATGTGCCCCCTTTTCTAGATGGAAATACAGGATTAACAGAATAATATGCTGTATTTCAGATTTGTGTGGAAATTGAGGTTCCAAAGATATACTTCCCTACGCTTTCACATCATAGTTCAGACTGAGTTTTTCAATTGGATTTTCTTTTTTCAGTTGATTCTATAACAACTTCCCTTCAAGCCAAAGTGGAGAAAACATTTCGCATTCGATATTTTTCTGCTTTCAGGATATATTATAGGCAGTAGAAAAGTTTTTATAACTATTAATCGCAATTTGAAGGAGTACAAACACGATTTTTTTCTTGAAGGCATGTTTTAAGTTTCTTTTCGAGTTGAAGAAACCTACTTAGAATCTAAGGTTAATTTTGCTTTGACATGACTTCCTTTTTTATTTCCTTGAACAGAACTGTTTTATTTGTTTGATCATTGATTCATTATGTAATGCCAACATCCCACAGAACCCCCAAATTTAGAAAAAGTAGGACCACGTCATTTTCAATTTATCCATCCTCTTCTACATAGGGCTAAAATAATTGTGAGTTGTTTGAGTACTGGAATGTTTTTCCAAATACATTATTTTCAAGTTATAGGTCAAATTATTATGTGCATAGTGACCCTGTCAGAATAAAACTCTGACACCTTATGCCATCTGGTGGTTGATGAGAATATATTTAGACCAAATGATACTTGCTTCTTGTATATTTTGGACTTAATTAATCCAAAAACCCCACTATTTAAATATAGTTTTAAAAAGACATTACGTTTATCTGCATTTTATTGTGGTATAAATATTTGAGCATGCAAATGTATAGGGGTAAAGTAAAAATCGAAAGAATGGTGAAATTCAACTTCTTTTCAGATAATTATCAAAAGTCTTAAGTTCATCAAAATACATGAGGTGTGATAAAGTGGTCAATTCATATACATTCATGTAGAAAATGTTTGGAGCTGGATCTATGCAAGTGAGTAATTGGTCTGTGTGTGCATGCTGTATAATACCATTATGCATCTCTCTGTTTTTAATATTTGCAAATGCTTTCCTTGCACTGAAATTTTCTATTTGAAAAAAAAACCAAAAACACAAGTTGAGAACCTTTTATTTGAATAGCATTAAGGAAATGCTGTCACTCCTGATACTGTCCTATACTCCTTCTCCCCACCTCCCCTCCCTCATGAAGCAATACTCAATTCTTAAGCCACACTAAATTATTTTTTCTTATTATTTGGGGGCCTAAAATCTCTTCACCACTCTGTGCCTTCTGCCTGGGATATCTTTCTCCAGGGGGTCTTTGCTGGTGGCCTGGAGTTAGGATTCGATCAGAGGGAAAAGGCGGAATGCGGAGCACTGAAGCACAGGGGCACTGGAGCCAGACTGTCTGGATTTGAATTCTGGCTCTGCCAAGTACCAGCTCTGTGACCTTGAGCACGTCAGCTGGTTTCTTTGTGTGTGTCAGTTTTATCTATTAAATGGCAGGAATAAGTATAACCTACCTCCCAAGGAAGTTTTGAGGATTAAATAAATTCATATATAAAAAATGTTTCAAACAGTATCTGGCACATGGTAAGCATTCATAAGGTTCGCTATTGTTCATGCTTTTTCTCCTGTGGCCTTCGTTCAATTTGCAGATGGAAAATCTTTCTTTGCGAGCAACATGGAGAAAGAGTCAGGCTTTAGAGTCAGGCAGACCTTGGAGAAATTCTTACCCACTCTGAACTTGTTTTCTTATCTGCTAAAAGGAGATAACGTTACCTACCTTGCAAAGTTGTTTTGCATTTGATCTCTTGAATGAAATCATATATATAAAATAATAGATTCTGGCACATGAGCATTCAATAAATATTAGTTCCTGAGGAGAGGAGGAGATGAAAGCCAATTCCCCCCCACCCCCCACCCCAGCTTTTCAGAGAATAAAAATAATCTTTGTCAGAAACACATAAAAAATTATCAACTTTTCTCAGGTTAGAAAACAACACTTATCATGACCGCATTTATTTTAGTCCCATTATGGTTCTCTGTACAAATTTATGGGGTACATGTGCAATTTTGTTACATATATAGATTGCATAGTGGTCCAGTTGGAGTTTTAGGGTGTCCATCACCCGAATAACGTACATTGTGCACATTGAGTAATTTCTCATCACCCACCCCGCTGTGGTTCTTTTTCCTTCTCCACTTCGCCTCCATCATTTTTTGTGCCTGGCAAAGTGCTTCACAAGGGTGGCATGAAGATCCGGCACAAACATCGCTGTGGAAACCGTCCCTGCCATGCTCAGGCATGCCCAGTTCCCTTGCCTCTGTTTCCACGGTACTCTGTTCCCGTCTCTTTCAACATCTGCTGTCTGTTCACGAAGAGTGACCAGGACAAGGACATTAGTGTAGCTTTGCATTCTCTGTACTTAGCATGGGAGCCTGACAAATAGTAGGCACTCAATTAATGTTCGTTGAAAGATACATACCTACCCTGTTTCCCCATTTAAGATTAGGATTAAACATGAAGGCAGTTAATTTTAGGAAAAAATTTAGATGCAGACTTCTATTAAGGTTCATTCTAATGTAGAAATTAAGGTTCTATTTTCAGAGTTCTAGGGTGTAGTTATAAACAGTGATTGAAAACTGGAACTATAAATGACTTGTGAATATTTTATGCAAATTCTTTAATTTTATACGTTTTAGTTACTATTAATAGAAACCTATTGTCATTATAAACAGCTTATAAATATTCATTAATTAATCGTTTGGATTGGTGTTCATTTCTCAGGCCTTCTTTTTCTTTTCCTATTGCCTTGGCTGCCTTTTGAACATTCATGCAAATGCTTTATTTCTACCAAGACATGGAAAAGAATATGAATCTATAATCTAATCAGTGGTTTGTATTTATTTTCTCCAGAGAAATAGTGAAAGATATAAACTCAGAAAGCAGCAAAAGCTATTGTTTTGAGTGTTCTTCTTTATGCACATATAAAACTTTGTGTCATACTCTATAGCTAATGATTGCTTATGTGATAACAGAAAAGTCTATGCCAATAATCTAAGCTTTGGCAGCTAGCAAGTTACTTAAATAAAAGTTATCAATTCTGGTGGAGTTTTATAGCCAATAGAGTTTTAGAAAAGAATATTACTCTTGTTATACCAAGGAGGTATAGGGGGAACAGTACCTTGTGTGTGCCAGGCATCCTCCCTTCATTTCCTAACATCACACTGGCCACCCTGTGGACTTGACAGTCCCACCGCCATTGTAACCCACCAATAAGATTCATCAGCTCCTTCAACGCGATGACAAATCAACCGCTTTGCTTGCCCTGCTGACACAGCTTCAAAGCAAGATTCCTAGCCACCGTTCCAACTAGATTACCACCCCTAAGACCTTCCTCTGCACAAATTCTGTAAAGGTGGAGGTAAATATTATCTCCAGTTTACCACTGAGAGACACTGAGGCACAAAGAGATTAACCAGTTTTTCTGAGGTTATCGTTAAACGCAAATTTCATTTAAAAATAAAGTATTTCCTACTTGTCTAATACGTACCTATTAAAAGCTTAAATTGTTCAGATAAGTATAAAAATGTTGCCTACTCAATTACAAGCACAAATCAAGTCTATGTTTTGCAGAAAAGTTGTGGTTTTCTTTTTTTTTTTTCGGTCAGCTTCAAATTCTATTACTAAACAATGTTGGTTCCTTTCTCCTTCTATTTAAAAAAGAATGTGCAATATCATATACCAATATAAATTTTCTTATATTTATAAAATATACTCTGAACTTAGTTGTCCTCTCTTTTAAATTGGGAAGTTAATACATATCATTTTTAAGTTCCTTTAGAGTCTGATTTTGTGAGCCTGTGTTTTAACTGACAAACACACAAGTAATCTTTCTTTTAGTATACCTATGTTTGATTTCCTTTCTCCAGTTACGTGGAAGACATTCATGCTGAGTCTATTCGTTTAATACATGTTTGTGCTATCCTTTCGGGGTTATCGAATTTAAATAGTGTTTTTATAGGTTTACATAATTATATATTTAATGCGTATTTAAGGATGCATGGTAGCTTTTTTATTCCCCAAAGATTAAACCTTGAATGCCATCTTGTGGTTAAAGAGAGAATTAGCATTAAGAATGGACATGGCATATATTTTTTAACATAGACATGGGAAAAAATATAGAACCTTTAAAAAAACTAATGATATTCAACCATCCCAGATTCCTTTCATGCATTTAAAAGATTTTTATTGAATTTGTACTATGTGCTTTTATGTT